AAAAAAAAAAAAAAAATTTGTAATTATATCAATTTTGTGACTATAAAGAAGGTGACTATAGAGAGATTTGACTATATATTAAATATTAGATTTTACAATATTATTCAAGTATAGTTCAAAAGGATGTAGCAAATATAATTAGCTCTCAAGAATTTTTTAATAATATTAAATATTTATCACAAATCATATACAAGGCAAACTCAATAAACCAAAGTTGCTCTAAGCCGAAGATATATTAATCTGAAGTTTTTATAACCCCCCAAAATTTTTATTAATAGCTAAGCCGAATTTATTATGTAAGCCTAACCCGAAAAAATTTGGCTAACCAATTATTATAAATATATCTCGCTATACTGAAATGATCATGTGTTGACTATTTGATTGGCTCATCGTGCAGATCTATTTTACTAATCATATTTTAGGATTAAGTATAACAAAACTTAAAAACCATACATTTTTCATTTTTTTAATCTGTGCAGATTTTAATATTAGTTGCTACTTCAAGAACTTCATGCATGCATGAAGTGCTTGAAGTAGCAACTTACATATGGCTAAGAATTAATAAGACATACATACCTGATACCAATGTATAATTTAAATTTTACTTGTTTAAACCTTGTTACATACATATCATTAAAAAAAAAATTGTTGCGCATTCTAGTAAATTTGTGTTTCAAAGTTATCTGAATATACTTTAGCATGTGTATATAAAAGAAGTATTTTTACATACAATCGCTTCTCTTTAAACCATACCTGAATAAACTGAACACTTAAAACTTTGGATAAACTGATCACTTAACATTAGATAAATTGATCACAAACAATTTGATTACATATAGCATTTAGTTTAAAAACAGTAAATTTGAAGCTTTTTGACCCTATTTTTTTTAATAAGAACTATAAGTTCAGTGTACAAAGAGTTGACTATAACTCACCTTTTTTTTTTATCAAATTAATCTTACATATTTTTATGGAAAATTATACAATAAGCGATTTATCTAATTTGGAAATAGATAATCAGGAGGAAAGTTTAACGAGTGGTTCTTTAAATACTATGATTGAATTATCTAAGAAAACAAAAGAAAGTATAAAACGAAAGATATTAACCGGGCTCCAAAAACAAGCTTTATGTATTAAAGCACGAGATAATCCAAATTATACATTAAGTGTTTTAGCAACTGAATTTGGAATAAAACCAAATACTGTTCATGATATTCTCGCTGAAAAGGATACTTGGTTAATATTAGAAAAAGATTCACCACTCGCTAACTCTAAACGGCGCTGTACTGTTGGATTTCTAACTATTGAATCAGCACTTGTTTTATGGGTTGAACATGCTATACGTAATGAACAAACTCTTTCTGGTAAAATATTGAAAGTTAAAGCCCAAGAATTTGCTCATATAATGAATACTAATAACTTTTAAGCTTCTCCAGGTTGGGTTATGAATTTTAAAAAATGTTATCATTTGAATGAATTTGTTCGACAAGTTGAGGCCAACTCAGCACTATTAGAAGATCTTCCACATTATCGAAAAGAATTACAGCAACTTATTCAATCATATCCAAGAGAAAATGTTTTTAATTGTGACGAAACCGCTCTTTTTTATTATCTAGAACCTACAAAAATATTGGTACAAGGTCCTGTTACAGGACAAAAAAAAGCAAAAGATCGCATAACTTTAATGCTTACTGTAAGTTCTATAGGGGAAAAGTTAACACCTTTAATGATTCACAAATATAAAAACCCACGACCACTTAATGGAATTAATAAAAATACTTTACCAGTTTACTACTACTGGAACTCTACAGCATGGATGCAGACTTCAATCTTTAACTATTGGCTTGATAAGCTTAATATGACTATGCGCAAGTCAAAAGAAATATACTATTGCTTGTAGATAATGCCTCCTCTCACAGTATTAATGATAATACAATTCTTTCAAATATCAAAGTTCATTTTTTACCTTCCAAATATACTGCGCATCTTCAACCATGTGATGCTGGAATTATATACAGTTTTAAATGTCAATACCGACGAACTTATTGTATAGATTGAATTGAGAAATATGATGATGCTATTGCACAAAACAAACCTATTTCAGAAATTTCCAAGACAAATATCCGTGAAGCTATTGAATTTGTTAAAATCGATTAGAATAAAGTAACTACTCAAACAATTATACATATATGGCAGCAAACTGGCATTTTACCTGATGGTACTGATGTTAATGTTGATAATGAAACTATCCAATCTATTGAGCAATCAACCAATTCTGAACTACTAATGCTTATAAATAAATTTTCTCTTGGCATTGAAGAAAATCGAATAGAATTAGATGAATTTATTAATTTGGATAATTATATTGCAGCTAATAAAATGCCGTCAATGAAGTCTATAATTGAAACAGTTGAAAGAAAAGAATCTTCCGAACCTGATCTTTCATTAATCCAACATATTTCCTATAAATCTGCACTTGAATATATCGAAAGTTTATTTTAATATATTGGTCAAGAAAGTAGTAATAATCTTAATCTTGATATTACATTTTTACGAGATTTAGATAAGTTTAAAAAAAAAATTATAACTAATCAAAATAATTCATTATAGCAAACTAGTATTGTTTTTTTTTTTCTTAACTATTATAGTTTAGATTTTATAATTCAATTGTAATTCGAAGAAAAAATAGGTTTTTTTTTTTTTGATTATATAAGCTGAAAAATGATTAGATCTTTATATAATTTCAGCTTAATATAAAATTTAATAAAATGAATTATCTAATAAGCCGAATATTTAGATCCTTCCTACGAGTTTTGGCTTATCGAGTTTGCCTTGTATTCTGCAAAAGAAGCAATTATGACTATTGAATCTAAATTAACTACTTTGGCAGATATTTATATTAAATTGGTTTAATTAATATTTGCAATACATTATATACTATTAGAAGCTAATTATATTAAGTTTTGAAGAATTTGTACCTGAAGGCTTGGGATAACGATGGTCAGACCCAACGTATAGGGCAGACTACAAGCTTTTTGGAAACCGTGAGAACCGGGTATACGGTGAGTGACTATATAAAAGATACTAACCTGACAAGTTTGCGACCAACATCTTTAGAATCTGCAACTTGTCAACATGCTATAACAAATTTTTACAATTTTATAAACTACCAATAATAACAACTGAAACTACAATTG